CCAGGAATCTGCCGGAAAATGTTTAGGGTTTAGGGGTTTAGGGTTTAGGGTTTTTGGGTTTAGGGTTTTTGGGTTTAGGGGTTTAGGGGTTTAGGGTTTAGGGGTTTAGGGTTTAGGGTTTTTGAGTTAGAGTTTGGGATTTGGGGCGCAGGTGTGACTTCCCGGCAGTGGTGCATTTAATGACAGGTAGAGATCATACCGATCCATACCATGCATTCGCCTTTCACACGCGGGAACCAATAATTTACAAATGACGCCGGCAATTCTTGTTGGCCTTCATGTCCATTCCTTAACCCTGAACCTCAAAACCCTTACTTTTATTGCTATTATTACTCTTATCCCTTAACCCTAAACCCTGATCACTAGACCCTAAACCCAACTTGCACAACTAGACCCTTTTGCCGCACATCTTCTTCAGAAGATCACCACCCAAAACAACTCAACTCTACACTCCTTATATCCTATCATAATCCCTTTCATCACAACCCTTATATACAACCTGAAAGAACCCCATATAACCCCTACGTATTCCCTGTATAACCTCATGCATGATCCCTATAAGCCCCCTATAGAATCCTTCTTGGAGGTTCATGGGACTTAGTAACTACTTATAACTGGGCTTATAACCCTACTTATAACCCCCCTAAATGGCCTTATAGGGGTTACCCCAGTTAGAAGTAGGGTTTAGGGCAGCTATAAATAATTACTAAGTCCCATGAACCTCCAAGTTATATACCCTAAACCCTAAGCCCTCAGCCTTAAACCCTAAACCCTACACCTTAAATCGCCCCCATAGACTCCCTACATACCTCCTCCATTCCTTTACTCCCAGCACAGTGACAATCGGCCTCCAGTTGACAGATCTGGAGACCTTAGTAATAACAGTAATAGTAGTTTAGGGTTTAGGGGTTAGGGGTTTAGGGTTTAGGGGTTTACGGGTTTGGGGTTTATGGTTTAGTAGCAATCATAGTAATAGTAGTACTAATAGTAATAACATGGGACTCCGCGGGAAGGAAATTCGGGGTTGTTACAGTTTAGTGTTTAGGGTTTCAGGGTGTAGTCTTTAGGCATTATGTTACCCTTTTGAGGTGCCATAGGAGTTCTACAACTGTAGATACGCAGATATGGGGATTAGGATTTAGGCTTCTCCAAAATTTCGGCTCCTTTTTGGAGACCCTGAAAATTAGAGCTTCGGGCCCCATGTGTCGGTGACTCTAAAGGGACCAAAATTTGGACCAACGTTCCATACGGACGAATGCACGTGCATGCTTTCAATTTTCATTCTACAGTCTACACCCCTCTATCTAGAGCTTGCTGCTAGTGTAAACCCCTGTTTCCATTTCATGTTCGATGTTCTTTTCCATTTGATTCTCCGGTACTGGGGGTAATATATCCCTAAACCCTAAATCCCACCTAGAAGCTTCCATTTTCTTTTCCATATTCCCTATGGCAAAGTTCAGAGGCAGCTGCCCTTCTGCTTCAGCATCAGGATTGCATCCTTGCACCTCTTTGCTCCCCCATAGTCCTGCAAAGCATGCTAGATTCCAGCTTTGCCTCACAATCTCTTAGGGTTTAGGGTTTAGGGTTTAAGGTTATTTAGGGTTATTTAGGGTTTGGGGGTTTAGGGTTTAGGGTTTAAGGTTATTTAGGGTTATTTAGGGTTTGGGGTTTAGGGTTTAGGGTTTAAGGTTATTTAGGGTTATTTAGGGTTTGGGGGTTTAGGGTTTAGGGTTTAAGGTTATTTAGGGTTATTTAGGGTTTGGCGTTTAGGGTTGAGGGTTTAAGGTTATTTAGGGTT